ATATAGTTGGAATCATATAGTTTTAAGATTTGTAGCCTTTTAAGATTTGTCTCTTTAATTAAGTAAAATGCAGTTAAGGTTTCCCAGCTTCTTTTTGTGGCTTGACAGCTCATTTCTTTTCAGCACTGAATAATATTCCACTGTCTGGATGTACCGCAGTTTATCCATTCACCTATTGAAGGACATCTTGGTTGCTTCCAGATTTGGGGAATTATGAATAAAGCTGCTATAAACACCCGTGTGTAGGTTTTTTGTGTGGACATACATTTTCCACTTCTCTGGGTAAATGCCAAGGAGTGTTGTTGCTGGACTGTGTGGTAAGAGTGTATTTACTTTTGTAAGAAACCGCTAAACTATCTTCCAAAGTGGCTGCACCATTTTGCAGTTCCATAAACAAGAGAATGTCCTCTTGCTCCAAATCCTTGCCAGCATTTGGTATTGGCAGCATTCCATGCTTGGGCCATTCTAAAAGAAAGATTTGTGTATGTGTGTGTGTTAGTCACTCAGTTGTGTCCAACTCTTTGTGACCCCATGGACTGCAGCCCAACAGTCTCTTCTGTCCATGGAATTTTCCAGGCAAGGCTACTGGAATGGGTAGCCATTCCCTTTCCCAGGGGATCTTCCCAACCCAGGGATCAAACTCGAGTCTCCTACATTGCAGGCATATTCTTTACTTTCTGAGCCACCAGGTGAGTCCCATAGTAGTATCTAATTTTTGTCTTAATTTGCATTTCCCTGATGGCATACAATATGGAACATCTTGTTATATATTTATTTGCCATCCATATTGTCTTCTTTGGTGAACTGTTAAGATCTTTGGCCCATTTTTAAAACTTGCTTGTTTTTTTTTCTTATTGTTGAGTTTTAAGATTCTTTGTATATTTTACTTGACAAGGTATTTGGTTAACATCCTTTATCAGTTCTATTTTTTTGCAAGTGTTTTCTTCCAATCTTTGGCTTGTCTTCCAATCTCTTGAATTGTCTTTTGCAGAGAAGTTTTTAATTTTAATCAAGCCCAGCTCTTCAACTATTTCTTTCATGGGCCATGCATTTGGGGTTATATAAAAATAGGTGTCACTGGAGCCAAGGTCAGCTAGATTTTCTCCTTTGTTATTTTCCATGAGTTTCATAGTTTGCATTTTACATTTTGACCTATGATATATTTTGAGTTAAGTTTTGGAAAGAGATATTTGTGGCTAGATTCTTTTTTTGTTGTTGTTGTGTGAATCTCTCATTGTTGCAGAATTATTTATTTCTTGAACAGATCATCTTTGCTCCATTGTATTATCTTTTTGCCTTTTGTCAAAAATCAGTTGTTGATTATATTTATGGAGTCTATTTCTGGGCTCTCTATTTGGTTCCATTGATCTATTTGTGTATTATTTTGTCAATACCTCACTCTTCATTATTATAACTTTATAATGTTTTGAAGTTGGGTAGCATCAGTCTTCCAACTTTGTTCTTCAATATTGTGTTGGTTATTCAAGGTCTTTTGCCTCTTTCTATAAACTTTGGAATCAGTTTGTCGATAACCATAAAATGACTTTCTGGGATTTTGAATGAGATTGTACTAAATCTGTAGATCAAGTTGTGAAGAACTAACATTTTGACACTACTGAGTCACCCTATCAATGACATGAAATATCTCTCCATTTACTTTAGCTCTTTATTTCATCAGAGTTTTGTAGTTTTCCTATAAATTTTGAACATATTTTGTTAGATTTATACCTAAATATTCCATTTTGGGGGATGCTGATATAAAGGATATTGTGTTTTTAACTTCAAATTCCACTTGGTCACTGTTGGTTTATGGAAAGGCAGTTGACTTTTGCATATTAACCTTGTATCCTGCAATCTTGCTATAATTGCTTATTTGTCGCTGAAGATTTTTTTTTAATTCTTTGAGATTTTTTACATAAACAATCATGTCATTTGTGAAAAAGACAGTTTTTTTTGTCTTTCTTCTCAATTTAAATGCCTTTCACTTAATTTTCTTGACTTAATGCATTAGCAAGAATTACCAATACAACTGTGAAAAAGACTGGTAAGCAGTTTGTTATGGTTTCAACAATATCTTCTTAAGATCTTTTTCACAATATCATCTTGTCATTTTGTTAATGTCTTGTAATGTTTCTTATTTCTAACCTAAATTGGTTATTTTTGTTTTCTTGCTCTCTTTCTTTTTTAAAAAAAATCTGCATGATGGAGAGGTTTATCAAATATATGGATTCTTATAAAGTAACTTTTGGTCTTATCAGTCCTTTTATTGCATGTTTGTTTGTTCAGTCACCAAGACGTGTCCGACTCTGCAACCCCATGGACTGCAGCACACCAGGCTTCCCTGTCCCTCACCATCTCCCAGAGTTTGCCCAAGTTCATGTCTATAGCATTGGTGATGCCATCCAACCATCTCATCCTCTGTCACCCTCTTCCCCTTCCACTTTCAATCTTTCCCAGCATCAAGGTCTTTTCCAATAAGTCAGCTGTTCACATCAGGTGGCCAAAGTGTTGGAGCTTCAGCTTCAGCATCAGTCCTTCCAATGAGTATTCTACTGCATATATGTTTTCTATTATATCAATTTCTATTCTTATCTTCTGGTTTCTTTTATTTAGGTTTGCTTTACTGTTCTATTACTAACTTCATGAGACAGATGTTTAGCTTTTGCACTTCATCTTTTCTTTTTTTGTAATGAATACCCTACATTTCCCTCTGAGAATGGGCCTAGCTGCAGTCTTTGATTATCATAAGTCAATCAAATAATAAGCATGCTTATTAATTCACATATAAATATGGAGCTTTTTCTAGGGCTTTTTGTTGCTGTTAGTGATTTTTAACAGAATTGTAGTTATTAGAACATATTGTCGTCATTGAAATCCTTTGAAATTTGTTGAGTTTCCTTGATGACTCAGCATGATCAATTTTTAACAAGGCAGAGTAGTGTGTGCCTGAAAAGCATGGGTATTCAGGAGTTGTTGGGTTGTGTTTTCTGCAAGTTTATTGGTTACAAGTCTATTAATCATGTTGTTCAGATCTTCCAAATATTTCCTGATTTTTTTCTCTACGTCTATCATTTGCTGAGAAAATTGTGATTTTGTTTCTCATTGCACTTACTAGCTTTTCCATTTCTCCTTGTAGTTCTATTTATTTCTGTATCTTGAGATGTGTGACATCAGGTAAACACAAACTAGGAATGGGTTAAGGTGACTGACATTTTCTTACAAGGTTTCCCTCTTTGCCTCTAGATGTTGTGAAAGTGCTGCACACAATATGCCAGCAAATTTGGAAAACTCAGCAGTGGCCACAGAACTGGAAAAGGTCAAGTTTCATTCCAATCCCAAAGAAAGGCAATCCCAAAGAATGCTCAAACTACCGCACAATTGCACTCATCTCACACGCTAGTAAAGTAATGCTCAAAATTCTCCAAGCCAGCCTTCAGCAATACATGAACCGTGAACTTCCAGATGTTCAAGCTGGTTTTAGAAAAGGCAGAGGAACCAAAGATCAAACTGCCAACATCTGCTGGATCATCGAAAAAGCAAGAGAGTTCCAGAAAAACATTTATTTCTTCTTTATTGACTATGCCAAAGCCTTCGACTGTGTGGATCACAATAAACTGTGGAAAATTCTGAAAGAGATGGGAATACCAGACCACCTGACCTGCCTCTTGAGAAACCTGTATGCAGGTCAGGAAGCAACAGTTAGAACTGGACATGGAACAACAGACTGGTTCCAAATAGGAAAAGGAGTATGTCAAGGCTGTATATTGTCACCCTGTTTATTTAACTTATATGCAGAGTGCATCATGAGAAATGCTGGGCTGGAAGATGCACAAGCTGGAATGAAGATTGCCAGGAGAAATATTAGTAACCTCAGATGTGCAGATGACATCACCCTTATGGAAGAAAGTGATGAGGAACTAAAGAGCGTCTTGATGAAAGTGAAAGAAGTGAGTGAAAAAGTTGGCTTAAAGCTCAACATTCAGAAAACTAAGATCATGGCATCTGGTCCCATCACCTCATGGGAAATAGACGGGGAAACAGTGGAAACAGTGTCAGACTTTATTTTTTTGGGCTCCAAAATCACTGCAGATGGTGACTGCAGCCATGAAATTAAAAGATGCTTACTCCTTGCAAGGAAAGTGATGACCCACCTAGATAGCATATTAAAAATCAGAGACATTACTTTGCCAACAAAGGTCTGTCTGGTTAAGGCTATGGTTTATCCAGTAGTCATGTACGGATGTGAGAGTTGGACTATAAAGAAAGCTGAGTGCCGAAAAATTGATGCCTTTGAACTGTGGCATTGGAGAAGACTCTTGAGAGTCCCTTGGACTGCAAGGAGATCCAACCAGTCCATCCTAGAGGAGATCAGTCCTGGGTGTTCATTGGAAGGACTGATGCTAAAGTGAAATGCCAACACTTTGGCCACCTCATGCAAAGAATTGACTCAATGGAAAAGACCCTGATGCTGGGAGGGATTGGGGGCAGGAGGAGAAGGGGGCAACAGAGGATGAGATGGCTGGATGGCATCACTGACTTGATGGGCATGAGTTTGAGTAAACTCTGGGAGTTGGTGATGGACAGGGAGGCCTGGCGTGCTGCGATTCATGGGGTTGCAAAGAGTCGGACATGACTGAGCGACTGAACTGGACTGAACTGATGTGCTTTATCTATTTTGATAATAAGTAAGTTAGTAAGTAAAGTCACTCAGTCGCGTCCGACTCTTTGAGACCCCATGGTCCTACCAGGCTCCTCTGTCCATGGGATTTTCCAGGCAAGAGTACTGGAGTGGGTTGCCATTTCCTTCTCCAGGGGGTATTCCCGACCCAGGGATCGAACCCGGGTCTCCTGCATTGGAGACAGACGCTTTACCGTCTGAGCCACCAGGGCAGCCCATTTTGATACTAGTATAGCGTAATCAGCCTTTTTTGTATTAAACAATCATTAAGATGGCAGGCTGTGTGCAGCCCTAGTGACGGTGGGGGCTGCTGCACCCCAACATGCTACTGGCTCGGGGCTCCGTCGATGGGCTGGGAGAGGGCCGCTGGCGGTGGCCAGATACCTACCCAGTGGGACGATGCCAGCAACCCGGGTCCCTCCCACCCCGGACCGAAGTGCAAGGTGGGAGGCAAGCTGACATCTTGCGGGACAGAGGAGGGAACCCCGACGGCAAAAGGAGATCTAGGCTCTGTGGAGACCCCAGGGGAAGACGGGGAAGGAAGCCCAGGACCCTGCCAACAAGTCCGAAGACAAGGAAGGCGAGAAAGACACAGACGCAGAGACGGCCAAGGAAGACGGCCCGATGGCAGAGTCAAAACCGACGGAGGCTGCGGAGGCGCCGGCGGCCACCTCCGGGCCTGGCTGCGCTGGGCGAGGCTCCCAAAGCTTTGCAGACCCAGGCGGCAGAGCCTGCGGCCCCCACCCAGGCCCCCACCAGCTTCAGATTCAGAACCCAGCAGCACCGAGGCTGCCCCGTCCTCCTAGGCGACCCCGGCAGGCACAGAAGCACCCAGTTCCACGCCCGGAGACCCTGGCCCCTAACTCTGATCAAACGGTAGCAGTGACAGTAAGGAGGTCAGCCCATGGGAAAAAATACTGCTTAACAACCACCTATCTCTACGTGTGCGACTCTCTCTCCTACACTAACTTGTCTCAAATTGGTAGTGATGATATTATTGCATAGGAAAAGGGATCTGGTGTCATAAAGGGAGGGAGACAGTGGGAGAATGGAAATAGTGACTTTGTGGGGAAATATCTAATGTACCTTCAGGCAACTCTACCAGTCAGTCCTGGATTTTGAAGATCAGTATCCGAAAGTACAGTACAACTTCTGTACCTGAGTTGCTGTTACCTGCCCGTCCACCACCAAGATCTGAGCATCTTTCTTGCAAGCGGAGTTGGGAGTGATGCCTTTGATTTTGCCTGCAGGGCCTGTGCTGAGGGAAACGGATGTTTATGAAAGCAGTATTTTCTGTGTTTTCTTTTTCATTTACAGCCTTTCTTATTTTGATGTTTTTTAATGTTGTGGATGAATGCCAGCTTTCAGACAGCTCATGGTAGCCTGTCCACATGTGTCTTGATGTCAATACTCCATTCTTCCTCCCCAGGTCCTTTTGGGAGTAACAAACATTCATCCTACACTTCCTTAGATTTCTCACTGCTAGTTAATGCTTGTCCTTGGTTGGGTGTACCAGTAGTTCTGTTTACAGGTCAGTGGAAATGAAAAAAAAGTGTGTTCACTGTAGTTCCAGTTTTTCCTTCCATTCTGTGTCATAGACACCAACACACCACTCACTGGAAACTGGAAAAAGAATTTTAAAAAAGCACAATGGATGCATTGAAACGATATGCAATTGTATAAATGATACAACTGTAATACAGTTAAACAATTAAAAAAATTTAAAAGATTGCAGGTTGTATCTTTTCCATCCTTTTATTTCCAACTTTTTATTTTGAGATGTATTACTTATAATCAATAAATAGTAAATTGTACAAGTTCAATATGACCACTTTTGTCTTTTGATAGGAGCATATAATTATTGATATTTTGGGTTTAAATTCTATTTTATATTCATTTTCAATTAGCCTAACCTTCTTTATGTTCTTAGTTCTTACCTTCTTTCTTACCTTGTTTTTTGGTAGATTTTTCTTAATATCCTATCTTTGCCCTCCTCCCTCCAATCAAAATCAGGTTGGCAGCTATACAATTACTATTCTTTCAGCAGTTATCCTGAGGAATACAAGGTACGTCTTTAAATTATCAAAGACTATTATTGCCTGCTTCTTTTATTCATTTTCGTGACATTGTAACAGTCTTGAAATACTTTAACTCCACTTTTGTGCTGTTTTTCTCAAATTTTGTGCTGTTTTTTGTGTTGTATCTCAATTCCATACACTGCTCCTTTGACTTTCTGTGTTTCATCTTTATAATTTTCTTATTTTACTTTCAAAACCAGAAAAACCCTTATCTTTACAGAACTTATATTCCTATTGGAGAGAGAGTCAACATACAAATAAATAACTAAAATGTATAAATAACTAAAACCACCAGACATTAGATGGTGATAAATATTTCAGAGAAAAGCAAAGCAGGAAAGGAAAACATGGAAAGTTGGAAAGCATGGTTGAAATTTTAAATGAGGTGATCAGGGAAGACCACCCCAGACAGTTGAGGTTTGAGCAAAGGTCTACAGGGATTGAGGGGCTAAGCCATGAAGACATGCATAGAGGAGTGTTTGCAGACATAGAGTGCTGCAAAGAGAAAGCCTCTGAGGTACAGCTGTAGTTGACATCTTCCAAGGTCAGTGAGGAGGCTGGGGTGGCTGAAGTTAGATGAGTGTGAAGGAGTAGAAGTGAGATATCCCACTATCAGAGGGGTAGTGAGGGTGTTTATAAACAGGCAACCAGCGGGAGTCAAGTAATTTCACTAGGGCTTCGGTAGAAGGAATTTTGGCTTATTATCATGATATAAAACCCAAGGTAAGAGAAGCAATTGTATTTGAATGCAAAATGCAACTTTTTAGCTTATAGTTTTAGAGGGTTTATTGTATGCCAGGCACTGTATAAAGTTCCTTATGTGTAAGATTTTATTTCATACTCGTTGTATAAGAAGAAGGTAGATCTCATACAGGTTAATTAATTTACCCAAGGTCAAAACTTATATGCAAAGAAATCTGAGTCACATCCATGTGGTCTCTTAATTCTAATTCTGTGTTCCTCTGAGTTGTCACTGAATGACTGAATAGTTACCAGTCATCTGGAGAGATCTAGCTCTGAACTCTGTGAATGAGTTTTTCTACTTCCTTTTCGTTCAGTGCGCAGAGCATTAGCGAATGATCCTAAGAGGCTCGATTGGTTCACCATGGGGATCACTTTTGTTCTCTGTTTTACTGACACACGCTGCACACTTAAATTGTGGGACTTTTTTTTTTTTCCCAGAAGGGCCTATTGCCAATCCACAAGGATGGAAAAAGATACCATAGGTGTATATATACAGATTAAACATCATTATTAAAAACAATTGTGTCCCATAGAGGACATTGGTATATGAGTTATTTTAAGCTACTATATGATCTTTCACCTACATCTGAGTGACCTGTTATGTTCCTTTTACACTTTATATAATGTAAAATATGAATTAAACAAATATACAAGAAAAACCTGCCCTTGAAATAATCCAATGTTAAATTTGTAATGTCACAAATGAGCAGCATATGCATTCTTTGGTCTATCATCTTTATCTTCATACCTGATTAGCCCCCCTCAGAAGGAAGGATGCTGGCTAACTCAACCCCTGTGGAACAATCAGGAGGCTGTGTGATTCATTTTATTTTGTACACAATTTGGCTAGAAAGCTGAAGATTTATTGATGCAATGTAAAATATTAGCTGGCAGGTAAAAATAAGCCTGTTAATGAATGTGATTAGAACAGCAGCTGGAATGAATTGCAGTGTTTGCAACATCAATGGAATTAATAGACCTTAAAATATTCAGGGAATCAATTAAAAGTCTTCTTCGGGATTCAAAAAATGTGTGTTCATGTGCTGAACTTTAAAATGAGCACCAGGAGAAGAAATGGCCAAACCTTCTGTTAGAAAAGCGTTTAAAGATTCTCAGGGCGTCTGGCTGTTTCTGGGTTCAGCCAGCTTCTGAAGGAAGCCCTGGTGGGCTGAGCAGCAGGCAGCTCGAAACGCAGGCTTCAGACTGTGCTTGCAAGAATTAAACAAGAGAAGCACGTGAGAGCAATTGAAATGGGTGTCCTGGCCGCACTCCCTGAGGTTCTGCAACCTCGTTAACCTTTGAGACGAGCACAGCTTCCTACCAGGATGAAAGAAGAAAAGAAGGTGATAGTTTCTTAAGCGTATTCTCAAATGGTCACCCCGAAGACCTTGAAAAGTTTCAAGCCAGAAGTTTTAAGATGAATAGTCTTATATAAAAGTCTTTGGGAGGAATTAATTGGACAGCATCATGTACAAGTAATGGAACATAGATATTATCTAGCATTCCCTAAACTAGATTAATTAACCCCTACTCCCCCCGCCCCCACTAACAAACAAATTAAATAGGCTTTTTAGTTACACCTTTATACCTTTACCTCTGGGGGGAAGCATTTATTGTCCATATAATTGTTCTATAATGCAAAGTTGAAAGTTTCTCTTTAAAGTAGAAGCACAAGACGATAAAGTGGGAGGAGATTGTTTAGTTCAGACTATGATGGTCTATAACCCGATTTTAATTTTGGGAATATTCACACCTTATTCCATTTCTCAGTCCAAAGGCAATCTATTTGTTCACAGGTTACTTACATTCTGCACAGTTTCTGTGATGTTTTCTTCTCATTGCATCAGTAGGAAGCTGGGTAGAGCCAGAAATCCTGCAGCCATAAAGACTGGTTTTGGAACGATGACTTCGTCCTCTGGACCTGTGAAACTTCCTCCCGGTTTCTTAGCGTCCATGGCTCCAAGCTTTAATGTTACCTTAGACCCAAGCAGCCAGTGTCCTACCTTGGCCCCACAGGCTCATGACCATCTGCTGGCTGCTCTTCGTGGGGACAGGAGTTTTTCACTCCTTTGGGTAAATACCAAGAGGCATGATTGCTGGATTGCATGTTAAGAGTATGATTACTTTGATCAGAGGCTGAAAAACTATGTTCCGACGTGACGGTACCACTTTGTGTTCCCACAAGCAACAAAGGAGTGTTTCTCTTGCTCCAAATCTTGGCCAGAATTTGTTTTTTTCAGGGAGATGGCTGTGGGGATGCGCCCACTCAGTGCTGACTCCTGTTCTAGACCATGCTCTGGGAAGCAGAACCCCCAAATTCCTGCTTAAATCCCTGAGCTGGCTTTTAGGGTCGCAGTGTGTTCTTAGAGGAGTGGACTGTGAAGCTTTGGGTAGATGTATCTGTAAGTCTAAGGGGTGGGTGGTGGGTGGCTGCTTATTATGGAGGGAGACTGCTCATGGTGGGTGAATGGAGTTTAGACATGAGGATGCAGCCAGGTCCACGGAGGACAGTGGGAAAATCGAGGCTGGCCACATGCTTAGGGAGTCTCTATTTGTGCTGTGTACCCCAGGCCCCTCAGGCCCTCCAAGCAGCAGCAGCCAACCATGGCCCTAACCATAGAGGAGTTGAGTTGTTTATGCCTTGGGTAACTAGAAAGGGCCCTGAGGGCACAATTTGCCTTCTCATCAATTTTCTCCAGTTGTCTTCTTGGGCAACTGAAGCACCCACTTGAAATTTTACTGCTGAGATGATCAGAAGCCACAAGGGGGAATCTCCCTGTTTATTTGACCTTCCTTCTGGTCTCAGCAGCTTGGTTCCTCTTTTCGCGTCTCCTATGGCTCCCCTATTTGCAGATATATGACTTCACTGGCAGAGTCTCCCTTCATGGTCCAGCCACCGTACTTCCCCTCATCCCTGTCACCATCCATACAGGTTTTTTCTTGCAGTATCACTCCCTCTGATCTTCCACTTTGGCCTCACAAGCAGCTTCTATTATCTTTGCCTTGTTCTAATCCATGGTTTGCAGTGGTGCAATTTTCAGGTGGAAGGGGAGTATGGTGCAGTCCTACTGTGGGTAGTAGAAGGAAGAGGGAGGGGGAGAAAGCACTGTGGATATTTAGCAATGGATACCTTGAAACCACAGACTATTGAGGCTACATATTCTTCTAGGGCTTATGATATTTGTCAATTAACCATTTGAAGACCCATAAAAAGAAAAATGCATTCCCTTTGAAGAGCACTAAGGAGAGCAAAGTATTATTTTTTTTCAGGTAAAAAATGAATAATTAAGATGTAAACCTCTTAGTCAAGAGCTCAGATGCTGATCTGGGGACAGGAGGGATATGTAGGTATCGATAGAAGGTAGGTTTAAATCCCACTGATTCAGGAAAAATAAAAGACAAGTTGGGATCAGAAAGTACATGCATCATTGAGTGGTGAAAACTACACTGAACTGTCCCCAGGGAGGAGGACTTAATTTTGGCTTTTATCATCCACTACCTGTGGGGTTTTGAACACTTTACTTTCACCTTCAGGTTCCTCATTTGTAAACTTAGCATATCTTCCTTGATGCTGTACAGAGTGGTTGTGAAAAATGAAGTGAGACATTGACCATGAAAATACTTTGTCTACTGGCACATACTATACATACATGTTTGGGCTCCAAGTTCTCTCCTATGTTCAGATATGTCTGAGACCTAGACCCAGTCAAGGCTAGTAAACCCAGCTTGTGTTTTTCCCATAAGCTGCTATGCTGAGGTCATAAAAGCTTTTTGGCACAATGATTATAATGCAGATAATATTCTGCTTCTGTTGCACAATCCTTTATTTCATTTTTTGTTTTGTTTTATAAATAGAAATATGCGTATGTTATGATGAGCCAACAAGATCATATGAACGATCTCCCCAATAGATCCTTAAATGGGAAGGATAAGCTGTCTTCCCCAAGGAGGCCTAATTCTATGAGACATCAGTGATTTAAGGGTTAGAAGAGCAACTTGGCCATTATACAGCTCTGATGGACCTTGGGCATTATATTATCTAGCCTACTGGAAGCTAGTTTCCTTGGCTATGAAAATAATACATTAACATAATTTCTAAAATCTCTCTCAGCTCTGATTTCTGATTCTAAGTCTACCATACACATACTTAGTTTTTTCTTTTTAAAATGATGAATAAGCAAATGCAAAGCCAACCAGAACCTAACTCATCAAAATCATCAACTGATTGATTAAATATTCTATTTGTTCAACAGTTGTTTTTTGAACGTCCTCTTCATGCCAGTTCCAGGTGCTGGGACACCTGGCAAAGTAAGAGACACACAACCCCTGATCTCATGGTGCTTAGCGGGAAGGAAAACAAAGAAGTGGATAGTGAATAAGGAAAATGTTGAACAGAGACATGTGCTATAAAACGGGAAATTTTACATTCACCAACTAACTATACCTCCTTCCTCCCGTAAATCCCAAGATTTCTGATGAAGTAATACCTTTTAAGTAGACTTAGAGCATTTGGTTTGCCTGTATGGTGACAAAAAGAGAAAATAAATGGAAAAGGGTTTAGGGAATTCTGAATCTTTGAGATTTGTAACTCTTTCCATTTGGAGAGCAGGAAATCTAGACCCCAAATGAACTTGGGCTTAGATACAGCATCAAATAGGTGGGATTTGTCTGTGGGGAAAACACTGACCCACATAGTCATCGAGCTACCATGGGTCAGAATCTAGGCAGACTTTTGCATCTTAGTTGAGTCTATTGATAGGAAAAAGATCCCAAATGTGACGGAAATAATTTGAAAGCTTGCAAAGCCGTATCAATAGTCACTATATATTTGCAATTAAAAAAAAGAGAGAGAGAGAGATAAAGCCATCAGTTATAGTGCTAAAACACAAAGTTGAAAACTTAAAAATAGGTAAGAAATAGTTTTGAATTTAATTGAGCATCAGCACTAGAGAAATTGGTCAAACAAGAACATATTACCTTCAGTTAGAGAGAAGTCTTTGTGAGTGTTTTTGAGCTCAGTGGTTGAGGTGCTGGTCCCTTATCACACCATATTTCTTGTCTAAATATATGGCTTGGTTTTCCCTTGATTTAGTGATACCATGAATGCTACACTTGTGCTTGACAGTCATGACCACAGTCATTTTATTTGACACATAAATAGAACAGAGTAAGAAGGGAGAAAAGAGTAGGAAAATTTTCTGAAGAGAGGAGTGTATGCGGACACTTGAGAAAGAAGTCCAGACAGCCATTAGATAACCAGGTCCTGGAGGTGTGGCGCACAGCATAGTGACCGCAGACCAGAACAGCATATTGTAAACGTCAAACTCAGGAAAGGACTAGATGCTAACTATTCCTACCATAAAATAGAAACGATCATTATTTGATGAGTGGAGATGTTCGCTAATGCTATAAGGGCAATCACATTGCAATGCAGAAATGTATCAAATTAACATGTTGCGCACTTTAAACTCACATGATGTTACATGTTAACTATATTTCCATTATGGAAAAGGAAGACCTGTTTCAAATTCACCCTGCTGTGAGGGGTAAAAGGCAAGAAACATAAGTGAGGGCGGGGGAAAGAGGGTATTTATCTCATGGCCAGGAAGGAAAAGGCAGAGACTGTCACCAGGGTGGTGGAAAACAGTGCTGAGTAACATCATGGGACTGGTGACAGACTGCAACCTGCGGTTTATATTTGGGGATCTTTGTCAATCAGCTATTGGTGTGTTAAAATGTGCCTATTTTTGAACATTTACCTTGGATGTACCAGTGTTCTCAGCCAGGCTGCATCTTCTTTAAAGACAAGCTTAATGCTCTCTTTCATCATTCAGCACATCTACTGTCAGAAGTGAATGAGTGGCTGACATTTTAGCGCCATCTCCAATCTATCTTCCTCACTAAATGCAGAATTAGAGACTTTATGCACACACAAAAATATGGATTTCAAGAAATTACCTGAAGTGGTTAATGTGCTTAAAGGTCAATGAAGTAAGTTGTGTTTTGGAAGAATATAATCTAAAGCATTAAAAAAATATAGATTTGAGAGCTCTTTTGCAAGTTTTACAGTCTAAAATGCAATACTTAGTTTCTGTGAGATTAATACATCCACGAAAGAAATCATTACTTGTACTTTGACTGAGTTGTTTCTGAAGCCACTGTAACACCAAATCTATACTGAATAGAATATGCAAGGGCAACAGTGAAGCTATAACTCAACCTGGTGTGATTATGATGTTTAAGTAGAAAATAAGATTCAGGGAAAGTGTTTTGCAACAATGTCTCCTCCAAATAACAGAGTATTTACTGATTCACCAAGAAAACGCCAATTTTCAAAAGGGCTGTGGATGTCACAAGCAATTAGTGTGTCTACGAAGGATCTTCTGCAATTCCGAGAGGAGACAGGAAAATGTTATATAGAATGTGACATGTAGGGGTCATTTCAAAAGTAATGGATACCGACACAGAGCTACAAACAATTTTAAGGTTTACACATCACTCAAAGAAATTGGATTAGAGCCAGAGAAAAAGATGTTTTATATTACAGTTTCCAAAAAAAGTCTTAAGGTCATTTGATACAAGACAGGATAATATCTACCATCTTTTGAAATGGAATGTACATGAAGGCAAAGGGTTGTATGTCATTTCTGAGGTAAAATGTTACCATTTTGAGCATATTTCTTTCCAAAAGACTTCATACCAATAATAGCCTATACATATTAAAATAGTTTACAAGTGGCATGTAAATAAAGTACCTGAATCCTAGTGTTCAAAAGTCTTATCATCTGCTGAAAGAAATGCTCATCAGCTGTTTAGACTTTGTCTAAATTCTCAAATAGGAGCGGACTGCCATTTGCTTTTCTTATGAATAGAAACGTGGTTTAGTGCTTTGACTCAGAGTTGGGATGACTTTTGCATGCATTGGCTGGGAGAGTGATCCTTTGAGAAGAGTTCTGGTAGCCGTCGTGAAAGTTACTTTTGCTTCTGTGGGCCTTGAGGTGGTTTGAATGGTGGCCTTCAAAAGTTCTTTGGATGGTGGCCTTCAAAAAGATATGCTTACATCCCAGTTACTGAGATTGACAGATGTTACCTTATTTTGGAAAAAGTGTCACTGTAAATGTAAGCCAAGGACCTTGAGATAAAGAGGTTATCTTGGATTATATGAGTGGACCCTAAATCTTTATGATGTTTTTTATGAGAGAAAGGCAGAGGGAGGTTTGAAACAGAAGAAAGGACACAGAGAGTAAGGCACTGTGAAAACACAGAGGAGAGTGGAATGATGTGGCCACAGAAAGTCAAGAAATGCCCGTGGCCAGCTGAAACTGGAAGCGGTGAGGAAGGATTCTCCCCCTGGAGCCTCCTGAGGGAGCAGGGCTTGGTGGAGACCTTCAGTCTGGACTTCTGGCCTGCAGGAGTGTGAGAAAATAGTCATTTGTTGTTTCAAGCACCAGGTTTGTTGTATAGTTTATCTATAGTGGCCACAGGAAACTGACACGGAAACCTTTACCTCCTACGATTCCTGAATACCAAAAAAAGCCAAGGGTACCACGTAGCAGGTTATCTAACTTGCCCATCCTCCACGGCTCATTCTGCACCCAGATGAGGTCATAAACACACTGCGAGGTGGTAGAAAAGATAGAGCAAGTCGTTCTCAATTCCAAACGTGAGGAAAGAGAGAAATCATTTCTATCAGCTTTCTTACCACAACACAGCTCCTTCTTGCCTTTCTACTTGCCTCCTCTCCACCTTTTCGGTCTTCGGAAGAGGAAGGCAGGTGAGACCTAGGAAGAGGAAGGGATAAACAGGAAACTAGGAATAAGCTGAAAATGGTAAGGATTCTTTTCTGACAAGAAAATGCAATTATGGAAAATAAAGAAGCTGAAAAATAAATGCACAAAGAAGCAAAGAACACACACACATAGGATAGATATAAATTAACACAGAGAATAAAGTGGCTTTTTTTCCACAACCTTAACATTTGACGAAGTAGGTGGATTATACTATCAAACTAGGAGATAGAATATTTCTATGTTTTGTCAAAGTTGCTGAGTTGTTGTTTAGTCGCTCAGTCGTGTCCAACTCTTTGCGACCCCATGGACTGTAGCATGCCAGGCTTCCCTGTCTTTCACTGTCTCCCGGAGTTTGTTCAAATTCATGTCCATTGAATTGGGGATGCCATCCAACCATCTCATCCTGTTGTCCTCCTCTCCTCCTGCCTTCAATCTTTCCCAGCATCAGGGTCTTTTCCAATGAGTTGGCTCTTTGCATCAGATGTGTCTGGTGGTGAAGATAAAGTCCGATGCTGTAAAAAACAGTATTGCATAGGAACCTGGAATGTTAGGTCCATGAATCAAGGTAAATTGGAAGTGGTCAAACAGGAGATGGCAAGAGTGAACATCAACATTTTAGGAATCAGTTAACTAAAATGCATGGGAATGGGTGAATTTAATTCAGATAACCATTATATCTAGTACTGTGGGCCAGAATCCCTCAGAAGAAATGGAGTAGTCCTCATAGTCCACAGAAGAGTCCGAAATGAAGTACTTAGATCAATCTCAGAAATGACAGAATGATCTCACAAACTCTGGAAATCTCATTTCCAAGGCAAACCATTAAATATCAAAACAATCCAAGTCTGTGCCACAACCACTAGTGCAGAGGAAGTTGAAGATGAATGGTTCTATGAAGACCTACAAGACCTTCTAGAACTGACACTGAAAAAAGAGACGTCTTCTTCATCATAGGGGACTGGAATGCAAAAGTAGCAATTCAAGAGATACCTGGAGTAAAAGGCAAGTTTGGCCTTGGGGTGCAAAATGAAGCAGGGCAAAGGCTAACAGAGTTTCCCTAAGAGAACACACTGGTCATAGCAAACACCCTTTTCCAAGGACACAAGTTGCTGAAAAAAGAAACACAAAAGTGACTTGCGTAGCATCATTTGACTTTTTTAACACTTAGAAACATTTTACTTTTTTATTTGGCTGTGCCAGGTTTTACTTGCAACATATGGAATCTTTAAGTACAACGTGCAAACTCTTAGTCGCGGCTTGTGGGATATAGTTCCTCAACCAGGGATGTAACTTGGGCTCCCTGCATTGGGAGCATGGAGCCTTAGCCACTGAACCACCAGGGAAGTCTCATAACATCATTTAATTTTACACAGAATTTGGGGGTGGGGTCTGGAACAGTTAGGAGCATATTGTTTTAGCCCATATTGATGTCAGAGACTTTGTTCTTGGTCTCTGGTTTCTTTTCTCTCTACCTCTCTCTTTTGCCCTACCTTTGAGGCATGGTTCCTCAAATTTCCCTTAAAGGGGATAAATCTTCTCAATTTTATTTCTAGATCTCCTCAGTCAATTCAATTTAGGATGTTAATTCAACAAATTAACTTGTCTCTTGACTAGTATGTTTTGGCTTTTGGCCCCTTGGCTTTAAATATTGGGTTTAAACATTGATGTTCTACTAGAAAACTTTGACTTCATATGGGCTTCATAAGGGGCTTCCCAGATAGCTGGCACGAATGGCCAAGAACCTGCCTGCCAATGCAGGTAGACGTAAGAGACACAGCTTCGATTCGTGAGTTGGGAAGATCCCCTGGAGGAGTAAATGGCAACCCACTCCAGTATCCTTGCCTGGAGAACCCCATAGACCGAGGAGCCTGGCGGGCCATAGTCCACGGAGTCACAAAAAGTCGGACACAACTGAAGCGACTTAACACGTGGTATGCACGTGCTTCATAAAACAGCAGTCCAGTGCTCTAACGTCTAAAGTGGTGGAGGTTCCTCTCAGTGAAAAGAAACATACAATTAGACAACCCTGCAGGCTCACTCGGGCCAGCTCAGATTCAGGTCCATGAGGAGACGGGGAATGTTTGGGGTTACTCCAAGGTAACTGCTTGGACAGCTGCTACTTGTGAGGAAAATCTTATCTTCTTTGGGTTAAGGAGAAGAAGGCAAAGTGAAGACAGATTCGATTTGCTTCAATGCAAACAGCTGTAGGAATAACTTGATGAGTCAGGACACTGCAAACAGCTTTGTGGGATGCCCCAATGTGGACCAGAGTTGCTTCGGAGGATGTCCACTCAAACAACTCAGCTGCCGTGGTCTCAACCTGGATCTTCCTGTCTTTCTGATCTGTCCACCATTTTTCTTTCCTTGACTGGGTCTCCCTGCACCCTTCCACTTGACCAAGCCTAGACAATTAACAGTGATGTCATGCTCCTGGGACTTTATCAGAGACACCTATCCCTTCATCCCTGCCCAACTGAGATCCTGGGCATTTCAAGGCCCTGCCTAACCCAGACCTCTCATAGTTACGACTTCCTCCTCTCCAGTCAAGTCACACTGCTGGAGCCCGTTCTCTCTTCTGTCCTGTTTCACAACTGACGCTCTTGCTTTCTCCCACTGAACTGCAACTTCCAGGGGCCTTGTGTCTTGCTTGTCTTTGTATAGCTGACAGAGGACTTTTTCTCTTATATCTGTTCAATAAACATCATCTAATGATTTAAAACAACAACAACAACAAAAACAGAAGGGGCTTCTAGAGAAAACTGTGATTTGGACAGTCACAAAATAATTTTAAAACTTCCAGAGTTGCTGGAGAACCCTGAAGGAATTGCTTGGAATACCCAGAAATCAAGTGAACATTTGAGAATTAAGACAGTAGTTCATTATCCATAATTAGATAGACAAAAAGTTTTGGAACGAGCTCAGAAGTTGCCTTGTGCAAGTTACTGTAGATGGGAAAACCAAAGATCATTGTTGCCAGACTCAACAGTTTAGAATGTCTTGCTTGGATTGTGGCAACAGCCTCCTGACTGGTCTCTGTCCTTCATGTCTCCCCCAAACCACATATTTACAAAGTGATATTTATAAAATGAAGAGGTGACGCTGCCTTGGTCCTGCTCTTAGGATGATGTCCAGACACTCTGGACTGGCATGTAGGGTCTTTTGTGACCTTCCTCCTCCTGCCTTTCCAGTCCTGTCTCGGTAGATTATTTATGTTCTTCTTTCAGATTCATTACTTCTTCTCTGATTCCATGCTCTCTTAGGTCTCTGCTTTTTGAGGGATTTTTTGCCCCCCTGGAATTTTCTCCCCCTTTTCATCTTTCAAAACAAATTCTTACTCTTTCAAATCCATTGATGCAAATTCTTCAGGCTGAGTATGCTCTAGGTGCAAATGTTATCCTAGCACCTTTCAGGACAGCATTTTCTACACTTCGTCCTATTAATTGATGTTTGTTATTCTTTTTCCTAAAGAAGGTCAGGATTGTGTCTCACTCACAAGTCTGGGGCCTTGGGAATCCCTACCACAGAGGAGCTATTTTAGGCAATGATGCCAATGAGGTTTCCCAGGAAGAGTCTATGGACTGAAGAGAGCATCAGGCTGAGAATGGAGACCCAAGGAAGACCAGCTTTCACAGGGTCAGCAGAGGAGAAGCACCCACCAACGGAGACTAGAAAGGAAGAAGAGAATCTGACAAGAAGCAGGTTTGGAATGCAAGGGAGGAAAAAGTCTCACACTGAGAAAGTTTTCAGCTGCAAGGAATATCATAAAGAGAACGGAGTAATTAAACACGGGAAGGCGCTCATTGGGTTTGGTGTTTAGGAGCTCATTGAGTGGCCTTCACAGTAGATCACAAGGTCTTTGGCGAGGGATTAGAATGTACATGAAAAGCCACACCCAGATACATGACATATGATCTGCCTTGAGACCGTAGGATGTCTAATATACTTCTGTAATCAGGGTCATAGTCGTGGCTCTCAGCACAAAGAGATATTTGGCAAAAGTTGATGAAAAGGAGGATATACTTCTGTGCTTTGGATACAATTTTAACCCAGCTCCTGCTCTACAGTGTAATCTTACATACCGCACCAGATTCTCTAAGCCTCATCTGCTTGCTGCTGAGACTGCATGGTCCCCTGTGGGCCTGGGCACTCTTGCCACCTGAGGCTGGCATGTTGAGCCATGGCTGCAGCTGGTCACTGAAGCGCTGGGCTGGGCTTCCCCACCAGCCATTGAGGGAGCTGGGTGACCTGACTTGGAACCTGGGGAGGGAACTCTGTATATGGTGAAGCTGAGAGATGGGCTGAGCAGATAAACTGACTCTCCTTCCTCTTGAAGAGACGGCTTTGAGCAGCTTTTCTGCACAGGCTGTCTGGAGACATCTCTGGGGACTCAGTGACTGCACCTGCTGACCGCCAGTGGTGTATCTTTGTGGCTTTTGGTGAAGTGGTGGCCAGCGCAGGGACAGCCTGTAGCTTCCCAAACCTGCTGCGTCACAGTCCCCTCTCGTTAACTCTATCGCCGAGGGACTCCACTTTTCAAATCAATCATCCCTCTTCAGGCTCTGTTTCTAGGCTGAGACATTTATCTTCCACATCTCTAAGGGTGCTGGCGATTCTGGCAATACCAAGAGCAAAACCCAGACCTTTCTAGTCAAGAGCTGAACTGTCCTTTCCAGGCCAGAGGACTCGAGTGGATTGCCATTTCCTACTCCAAGGGATCTTCCCAACCCAGGGATTGAACCCACATCTCTTGTGTCTCCTGCTTTGGCAGGAGGATTCTTTACCACCACATCACCTGGAAAGCCACAGTGGAATAGTACTCAGCCATAAAAAGGTGAAAATAATGCCATTTATGGCAACATGGATGCAACCAGAGATTGTCATAGTAAATACAGTAAGTCAGAAAGAGAAAGACAAATACCATATGATATCATTTTCATGTGGAATCTAAAATATGGCAATTTGGGGTTTGTAGATGAAAATATTACACTTAG